ATATGCATGTTTTTTCTTTCGTGTAAACCTCCCCCCCCCGATGCCAGCATTTATTTGTTGCTTTGTTGCACTAACACTAAATTTCGTTGCTCTAGCCATTTTGTCTTTGGAATCGTATATTTTTTTGCTTCATGGGGCTTCTTGAGAAATGTGAGTATGGGGGGAGGAGTCAGAAAGGTAGCTGGTTGGAGCATCGCCGGGCCCAGTCCGGAGGGCTTTAGCTCTCGAAAACATTACTCACATCGCGGTAAGGTAGTCTTACAACTACTTGCTGCTACGAATAGGCTTATTTATCACCTTGTTGGGTAGCTGTTGTTAGTTAGTACACGCAGACCCTTAATTCATACGTAAGCCAAGCGTTCATTGACTAGTTCACTCGAAAATAGTACTTGATTCGGAAAGAGGATCGCCGCATCATGACTACCAGAGGACTCGCGTGCGCAGCTGTGGCGTTGGTTGAAGTTGGATTTGATCAACAGCAGTTTCATTTTACGAGCACCTTAATCGATGATTCATGCAGGTGGCAGACCACGCTGCGCTGATAAGGGTTGAGTGCCGCAGGACTCCGTTCTTAGTTTGGTGAAAATTTGCACTTGGAAACATCCATTACGATTGATCAATTCCACTTGGTGTGCTTGTGGGAGTCCGCGCCCCCTGCGCTGACTCATCCTACCTTTGCACTGCAAAGCCATGCGCCCACGCGTACCCATCTACTTCGCGCGCGCTGTTGTACTTTCTCACGCTCTCGGTCGGTACGCGCGTAAGCTCGAAGCCAATCGATACACCCCGCCTCATTTTATTGGCGGTAGTTATTGACGTAGTTAAGGCTTTCCAACAGCGCATACTCACCGATACAACTGACGCGAAGACGCCGCAGAGAGCTAGCGTGTGACAGAGCCCTTGTACAGCAAATTTTCTCACAGTAAAGGCTGGTCTAATCTACCTTGTCTTCCCTGACTTTTGATTTTGCAAACCGTCTTATCCGAATAACCAACTTCGACCTGATATTTGACCTCACCGCTGGACCATGGTTTTAGAGCGTGTCGGCACCCGCGGACACTGGATCGTAACACTTGATTCGAACGTGTTTCTTGGCTATTTGGAGCACGAACTGTCCCTTCTGGCTCTTTGGACCAAAAAACTAGCCACAACGTAGTCGCTATGAGTAGACTTACTCTTGGTTTACTATCGAAACGCGTAAGACGCCCGTCATCGAGCTTCGCGACATGGTTTAAGACCGTCGGCGTGCCAGACCTTAGTCCTACATGGCCGTGAGCTGGGCTTTGTGCATGGAATATGAGCGAAAACCGCAGGTGTTTAATCCTCATTGTCCGTTAACCCTCTTCCGGGTAAAGTAAATTGACGAAGTTTGGGTGAAACTAGACGTATTTTCTTTGAAAACATGGGAGAGAGAGATACGCATTGTTTATGTTTATCCAAAATTTTCAGCAAAAACATGTTCCATTCGCGGGAATTAAATTAGGCGCACAAACTCGCAACATCTGGAAATCAAAGGTAATCTATAATTGTCAATGGCTGCAATTGTCGACATCGTGGATAAATATCTTTGGAAAATTCGTCAAATATAGGCCAAATTGGACTGATTTCAAACCGACCTCATGGTAGTTCAAATAAGCCAAGAGGGATATAAATCGGCTGATAATGGGCGAAGTAGGCCAACCGACGTATGCGGATGAAATTTTAAATGCGAATGAACGGAGGCAAAAATGGCGGCTCAATGTGAAAAGTCCGCTCATCTTCAGGATATCTCATAACGACCGAGGTGAGTTGTCAGCCTAATGAGTTGAGTGTTGCAGCCCTCGATATGGGTCCGCTGTCCACTTGGAGGCGTCAACATGTAGATCAAGTCAAATCCTGGCTTTACGTAGTTTGACATATATGCAGTGGTCACTAGCGCTACTT